AGGCCACATGCCCTCAACATGGGGCAGTGCTTTGAGGCAGGGGCTCCCCCCCAAAGAACCCCTGTACCCATGTTAATGAGGACAAGGGTCTTGGTTGTGGGGGTCTGTGGGAGGGGGCTTATCAGAATCTGGAAGCCCCCTTTAACAAGGGGACCCCCAGATCCCAGCCCCCCCATGTGAATTAGTAGGGGTACATAGTACCCCTACTCATTCACCAAAAAAGTGTAAAATGTAAACAAAAACACAACACGTTTTTGACAAGTCCTTTTTAAAAAAAAAAAAAAAAAAAAAGTCCCCTAAATCCATGCATCGTCAATGACGCCGCCCGCCGCCACCTCTGACCCAAAAAAAATAAAAACAAAAAAAAACCCTCCAGTCCCGATGTAGGCTCCTGCCTTGCTATGTACCCCATACTCAGTCACATAGGGGAGGGGGCAGGATCTGGGGGCCCCCTTGTGAAAGGGGACTTCCAGATTCCAATAAGTCCCCCTCACGCAGACCCTCACAAGGGTTTTAGCTATTGACTCTGCAGATAGTTGGCGACTCTCCAGGGCTGCGGAGAAGAGACCCTTGTTCTCATCAACATGGGGACAAGGTGCTTTGGGGGAACCCCCCTGACCCAAAGCACCCCCCCATGTTGAGAGCATGTGGCCTGGTATGGTTCAGGCCAGGCTACATGCTCGGATAAGGGTCTGGTATGGATTTTGGGGGGGGGGGGGGGGGGACACCATGCATATTTTTTTTTTTTTTTAATTTTGGCATGGGGTTCCCCTTAAAATCCATACCAGATCCAAAGGGCCTGGTAATATTTGGGGGGGGGGAACCCCCATGCCATTTTTTTTCACATGCTTTTTATTACCGGCACTGTTTTTTTTTTTTTACATTCAGTTGTCAGTGGGGAACCCCGCTGACAGCTGATGAGTCATCCATTGTTAAGGATGGTGTGTCCGGCTTCCCAGCCTTAACAACCAGTGAAAAAAAAAACTAAATGCTGGGCACTGGTGTTTAGCAGAGTTTAGAAGCTGTCAGCTTTTTTTCTGCCAAAACGCTGCTGCTCCCAGGAGCACTGGCCCTGTGGGGTTTTTTCCTGCTAGTAAATGCTACTCCTACTAAAATCTTCTAAAAGTCTATGTGTGCATGGACACAGGATAATATGGAGGGCCATTTGGAAGCCGCAAAAATAACGCCTGACACCCCTAAAAGTGGCTGCAAAAATGCCCTGTGTGCATGAGGCCTAAATGTCAGTTTAGCAACTGCAGTGTACATGAAGCCTGAGACCCAGTTCACATATATGTGGATTGGATGCAGTTTGAACCACATCCAATCCATTACATATGAAATAACATTGCTTCCTATGATGCCTGTTCACATACACTATATTGCCAAAAGTATTTGGACACCCCTTCAAATCATTGGATTCAGGTGTTCCAAACACCTCCATGGCCACAGGGGGATAAAATCAAGCACCTAGGCATGCAGACTGCTTCTTTAAATCGCTCTCAGGAGCTCAGTCAATTCAAGCGTGGTACGTTGATAGATTGCCACCTGTGCAGTAAGTCCATCTGTGAAATTTCCTTGCTACTACATATTCCACAGTCAACTGTTAGTGGTATTATAACAAAGTGGAAGCAACTGGGAACAACAGCAACTCAGCCATGAAGTGATGAAGTGGTAGGCCAGGTAAAATGACAGAGCGGGGGTCAGTGCATGCTGAAGTGCACAATGCGCAGAAATCGCCAACTATCTGCAGAGTCAATAGCTAAAGACCTCCAAACTTCATGTGGTCTCCATATTAGCACAACGGTGTGTAGAGAGCTTCATGGAATGGGTTTCCATGGCCAAGCAGCTGCATCCAAGCCTTACATCACCAATTGCAATGCAAAACATCGGATGTAGTGGTTTAAAGCATGCTGCCACTGGAATCTAGAGCAGTGGAGACGTGTCCTCTGGAGTGCGAAATGACGCTTCTCTGTCTGGTAATCTGATGGATGTAAGTACAAAAATACATAGACTGCGCTAGTAAAAAAAAATATATTAAATTAAATAACCGTGATGAAAAAATATTAAAATATAATAAATCATGTAAAACTCCCAAAAAACTAAAATATCAAAACAAAATCATATCAAACATATAAAGTCCCAAAAATATATAATAGTAATGATGAAAAAATTCAAACGAAATCCACCAAGTGTGTCCACCACCGAATAAAATTAATAAACTCACCAGAGCAATATGCTGATCATATTATAAACCAGCATAAACACTTTTCTGCTCTGGGAGCAATGATCTGTAGACAGTTGAGACAGAAGCTTGGCTTGGAAAAACGATCTCCACTACCCCTGGAGCAATACTCTGCAGGAGATTCTGTGACTCTGTAGATCACTCTCTTCTAAGCAATGATCTGTAGACAGTTGAGACAGAAGCATGTCTTGGAAAAAACTATCTCCACTACCCCTGGAGCATTACTCTGCAGGAGACTCTGTAGATCCACTTCATTCAAACACCATCCTTGTCATTGGGTATTGGAATAGCCACTCGGAAAATATAAAGAACAGAAGCTCATGGTGCAGTACCTCTTAAAATCGTTACTTTATTAAAAAAACGTATCACACTCACAAAACACGGTTTCCCAGCCGACACCACCACAATCAGCATATCCAAATGCAAGAAAGCAGACCAGCCTCATCACACCTGCGCTGTAAGGATCACTGAGAACGTGCCAACGTCTCACCACTCAAAGCCCCGCCCTACTAGTTTCCTCATTCAACGTCCTCAGGGAGTGGATGAGTGTGAGATGTCCTACCCTCATTATACATGCACTGCAATCAAGTCGTACAGCTATCAGTGATCTGAGATCATGTAACAAAATATGACACACCAATGACAGATTGCCGCGCTCGACATTCAAAAAATATATCATGGAGGCAAGAATAATACTAAATATATATATAAAACGTATCAATGATAAAGTGCTCAATAGTATATATTAATCCATAGAACATGTCAATCAACATTATTCCAATTAAAGGACCATGCACCACCAATAAAGGAGGGCTCCGCTCAAAAGAACAAAAAAATTGATTATATATATATATATTATATATATGTATATATATATATAATATATATATTATATATCAACAAAAGCTCCATATATATATCTAAATATTAGACAATTCATTATATATATATCAAATATGTTCCAGCCCCATAATAACATTATAAAGTAAGACAATACAGAGCAAAGTTAAAAAAAACGTAAACATTTGTGAGAAAACAGTTCAAGTCCATATCAATATTCAACCCATACGGTTTCAAAGAGTTTAATTCATAAATCCAATATGTTTCTTTTCTTGAAATCACCTTAATCAAGTCAGTCCCTCCCCATTGGGGCTTTACCATATCTATCCCATAAAAGGTTAACACCCTGGGATCACAATTATGTACCATCTTAAAGTGTCTAGAAGCACTATGTTTCTCAAAACCTTTTTTTATATTTCCTATATGTTCTCCTATTCTAGTTTTTAAACATCTGCTAGTTCTACCAATATATTGAAGATCACACGGACATTCTAAAACATACACAACATTGAATTAATGTGTGGAATTACAGGTTATCAAATAATTAATTTTGTATTCTTTGTTAGAAGAAGAAAAAAAATGAAAGGATTTTCTTTTTATTCTAGATTCAGATTTCACTGTTCTACATAATTTACACTTCGATCACGTTATGAGCTATTCTTGTTCTTAAAAATTTATTTTTTCGGTAAATAAAATATGGTCTTTCAGGTAAGATATTTCTTAATACATTATCTTTTAGTAGAATTGGTCAGTATTTCTTAAAGATACCTTCAATACTTTTATATTGCATGTTGTAATTAGTGATAAAAGGTACAGTATTGTTATCAAACTTCTTAACCACCTTTTTCTTACATAGAAGCGATTCTCTATTTTTGTTATTAATCTGATCTCTTTCATTGATGAGAAAGCTCCTATCATAACCTTTTTCAATAAATCTGTCAATTAATATATTAGTTTGCTCTATAAAATCTCCGTGTTCACTACAATTTCTTTTTATTCTGGTGAATTGGCTTCTTGGTGTACTGTAAAGCCACCTAGGATGATGTCCACTAGACACGGGTATATAGCTATTTTTATCAACCTCTTTAAAGAATGTTTTAGTTAGAATGTGACCCTTGTTTTTATATAACATTAAGTCCAGGAAGTTAATTTGCTGTAGATCACTATTAACGGTAAACCTTAGACCATATTTATTTTTATTAATATATTCCATAAAGTCTTCAAGCCTATTTTGAGTACCATTCCATAAAATAATAATATCGTCAATGTACCTCTTATACAGCGCCATCTCTGGCCATTTTTTAAAAAATACTTTCTTCTTCCCATTTATCCATCGCTAGATTGGCCACACTGGGGGCGCAATTGACCCCATTGCGACGCCTTTACGCTGCTGGAAGAAGGTATTTTTATACCAAAAAAAGTTATTATTCATCGTCAATTCAAGTAAATCAACAATTAGGACTTTTTTTTAGGGATGATTTTTGTTTTAGAACCCATTTTACCGCTTTAATTCCATCTACTTGGTTGATATTCGTATATAATGATTCTACGTCTATTGTTGCCAATATACAATCATTCATGTTCTCAAATCCTTTAAGAATATTGATAAGGTCCCCACTATCTTTAAGAAAAGATTTATTCTTCATAACTATGACTTGTAAAAAAAGAGTTTACCGTTAATAGTGATCTACAGCAAATTAACTTCCTGGACTTAATGTTATATAAAAACAAGGGTCATATTCTAACTAAAACATTCTTTAAACCACCTTCTGCCCGCCCTATAGTACAATGACGGGCGCAAGGGTTCTCTCGTTCTGATAGGACGTCATATGACGTCCTACCATTCTCACTGCGCATGCGCGGCTCAGGGAGCGCGCAGCGCGGCGATCGCCGAGGGACACAGCGGATCACGGAAAGAGCCGAAGAGGTCGGCTCGGTCATGTGATCAGCTGTGTCCAATCACAGCTGATCACATGTAAACACGGAAATGCCGGTAATCGGCTTTCTGCGGAGGGGACATGTACACTGATCATCAGGGCACTGATGATGAATCAGTGTGCCCTGATGATCAGTGTGGCCCCAGAAGTGCCACCTGTCAGTGCTCATCAGTGCCAGTGCCCATCAGTGCCACGTGCCAGTGCCCATCAGTGCCACATGAATGCCACATATCAGTGCATGCCTGTGCACATCAATGCCACATATCAGTGCCCATCTGAGCTGCCTTTCAATGTCACCGATCAGTGCCAGTCAGTGCCACCTATCAATGCCAATCAGTGCCACCTATCAGTGCCACCTATAAGTGCCAGTGAGTGCCACCTAACAGTGCCAGTCAGTGCCCGCCTAACAGTGCCATATATCAGTGTCATGTATCAGTGCTGCCTTTCAGTGCCCATCAGTGATGCCTGTCAATGCCCATCAGTGCAACCTACCAGTGCCTCCTCATCAGTGCCCATTAGTGCCACCTATCAGTGCCCATCACTGCAGCCTCATTAGCGCACATCAGTGAAGGAGAAAAATCACTTATTTACAAAATTGTATAACACAAACTACGAAAAACGTCTTTTTTTTTTCAAAATTTTCAGTGGTTTTTGGTTTAAGAAAAAATAAAAATCCCAGAGGTGATTAAATACCACCAAAAGAAAGTCTCAAAAAAATTCTAAAAATTTCATACGGGTACAATGTTGCATGACCGCGCAATTGTCATTCAAAGTGTGACAGCGCTGAAAGCTGGAAATTGGCCTGGGCAGGAAGGGGTTATAAGTGCCCTGTAGGTTAGTGGTTAAAGAGGTTGATAAAAATAGCTATATACCTGTGTCTAGTGGACATCATCCTAGGTGGCTTTACAGTACACCAAGAAGCCAATTCACCAGAATAAAAAGAAATTGTAATGAACACGGAGATTTTATAGAGCAAACTAATATATTAATTGACAGATTTATTGAAAAAGGTTATGATAGGTGCTTCCTCATCAATGAAAGAGATCAGATTAATAACAAAGATAGAGAATCGCTTCTATGTAAGAAAAAGGTGGTTAAGAAGTTTGATAACAATACTGTACCTTTTATCACTAATTACAACATGCAATATAAAAGTATTGAAGGTATCTTTAAGAAATACTGGCCAATTCTACTAAAAGATGATGTATTAAGAAAATATCTTACCCGAAAGACCATATTTTATTTACCGAAAAAATAAATCTTTAAAAACAAGAATAGTTCATAACGTGATCAACCCCCCTAAAAAGGTCAAATTATTTCGTAATGTAAAAGGGTTCTTTCACTGTAATAAGTGTAAACTATGTAGAACAGTGAAATCTGAATCAAGAATAAAAAGAAAATCCTTTCACTCTTTTTCTTCTTCTAACAAAGAATACAAAATTAATTCTTTGATAACCTGTAATTCCACACATGTTGTGTATGTTTTGGAATGTCCATCTTATCTTCAATATATTGGTAGAACTAGCAGATGTTTAAAAACCAGAATAAGGAGAACATATAGGAAATATAAAAAGGGTTTTGAGAAACATAGTGTTTCCAGACACTTTAAGATGGTACATAATTGTGATCCCAGGGTGTTAACCTTTTATGGGATAGATATGGTAAAGCCCCACTGGAGAGGGACTGACTTGATTAAGGAGATTTCAAGAAAAGAAACACATTGGATTTATGAATTAAACTCTTTGAAACCGTATGGGTTAAATATTGATATAGACTTGAATTGTTTTCTCACAAATTTTTAAGTTTTTTTTTAACTTTGCTTTGTATTGTCTTATTTTATAATGTTATTATGGGGCTGGAACATATTTGATATATATATATATATATATATATATATATATTTATATATATATATATATATATATATATATATATATTATGAATTGTCTAATTAATATTTAGATATATACATATGGAGCTTTTGTTGATAGATTTTACATATATATATTTTTTTTATATTTTTTGTTTCTTTTGAGCGGAGCCCTCCTTTATTGGTGGTGCATGGCCCTTTAATTGGACTAATGTTGATTGACATGTCCTATGGATTAATATATACTATTGAGCACTTTATCATTGATACATTTATATATATATTTAGTATTATCCTTGCCTCCATGATATGTTTTTTGAATGTCGAGCGCGGCAATCGGTCATTGGCGTGTCATGTTTTGTTACATGATCTCAGATCACTGATAGCTGTACGACTTGATTGCAGTGCATTTATAATGAGGGTAGGACATCTCACACACATTCTCAGTGATCCTTACAGCGCAGGTGTGATGAGGCTGGTCTGCTTTCTTGCATTTGGATATGCTGATTGTGCTGGTGTCGGCTGGGACACCGTGTTTTGTGAGTGTGATACGTTTTTTAATAAAGTAACGATTTTAAGAGGTACTGCACCATGAGCTTTTCTTTATATTTTCCGAGTGGCTATTCCAATACCCAATGACAAGGATGGTGTTTGAATGAAGTGGATCTACAGAGTCTCCTGCAGAGTAATGCTCCAGGGGTAGTGGAGATAGTTTTTTTCCAAGACATGCTTCTGTCTCAACTGTCTACAGATCATTGCTTAGAAGAGTGATCTACAGAGTCACAGAATCTCCTGCAGAGTATTGCTCCAGGGGTAGTGGAGATCGTTTTTCCAAGCCAAGCTTCTGTCTCAACTGTCTACAGATCATTGCTCCCAGAGCAGAAAAGTGTTTATGCTGGTTTATAATATGATCAGCATATTGCTCTGGTGAGTTTATTAATTTTATTCGGTGGTGGACACACTTGGTGGATTTCGTTTGAATTTTTCATCATTACTATTATATATTTTTGGGACTTTATATGTTTGATATGATTTTGTTTTGATATTTTAGTTTTTTGGGAGTTTTACATGATTTATTATATTTTAATATTTTTTCATCACGGTTATTTAATTTAATATATTTTTTTTTACTAGCGCAGTCTATGTACTATTATTGTTGTGGCGCCACCTATATTTATTCATTCAATCTGATGGATGTGTCTGGGTTTGGCAGTTGCCAGGAGAACGGTACTTGCCTGACTGCACTGTGCCAAGTGTAAAGTTTGGTGGAGGAGGGATTATGGTGTGGGATTGTTTTTCAGGGGTTGGGGCCCCTTATTTCCAGTGAAAGGAACTCTTAAGTCATCAGTATACCAAGACATTTTGGACAATTTCATGCTCCCAACTTTGTGGGAACAGTTTGGGGATGGCCCCTTCCTGTTTCAATATGACTGTGCACAAAGCAAGGCCCATAAAGACATGGATGAGTGAGTTTGGGGTGGAGGTAGTTGACTTGCCTGCAACCAGGTAGAACACCTTTGGGCTGAATTAGAGCAGAAACTGCGAGCCAGGCCTTCTCATCTGACATCAGTGCTTGACCTCACAAGTAAACCTAACAACCTAACAAGTAAAAAAAATCTTTTTTTGTTTCTTGGTTTTAATAAAAATGTTCCTGTTAACCCTTATTTTACACTAATCAGCCCTAATTAGCTCCTTATTCTCCTCCTCCATTCAATAAAAATTTTTCCTGCTGATTTTTATTTTTTGTTCTTTTCTATTTTATTAATCATTATTATTTCAACTTTATTTGTTTTGTCTGTTTTTTTCCTTAATATTTTTACACCTTTAACATATATTTATACATTTGACGTTTAACCACTTGCTGCCCACCCACAATACATTTACTGCAAGAGGGCGGCAGCTACAGGCTCAGTGACATACCTATATGTCCCTGAGCACATGTGCCTTGGCGTGCCCCCTGGGGCCCTCAGTGGCGTGAACCCGTCACCAGTGGACACAGCGGATCAGGGTGATCAATTATATTATCATGTGACAACTATTACCAATCATAGCAATCACATGATTACAATGTAAGCAAAATGGTTATGAATGGCTTCCATTCATGATAGCTTACTTACTGTTGTGAAACTGTAATTGGCCTTCAGCTATCACATGGTACCTGGCATCCGGTATTATGTGATTAGCTGTAGCCAATCAAAGCCTCACAATAGTAAGTTGTCATGAATGAAAGAATGAGTAGTACAATGTTACTGTTGTGACACTGAACTGCTTGAACTGCTCTGGTGACAGTATGTAAAAAAAAATATAAAAAAAACAAAAAATATTAAAAAAAATTTCATATTGTCACCAGTCGGTATCCCTGATTGCCGACACACCGGTCATATGATCATGCTGTACTGCACTGGTTACAGTATGTTCAAAAAACTTGACATGCCTCTTACTAAATACCTTGGACCGTCTACTTTCCAATAAAGGGGGTCATTTGGGGTGTTTTTGTACTGTCCCAGCATTTTAGGGCCCCATGAAATGAGATAGGCAGTCAGTTCATCAGGTCTGACCAACTTTCAGATATATATACCATAGTTTGTAGACTCTATAACTTTCACACAAACTAAATAATATACACTGATTTAGGTTATTTTTGACAAAGACATGTAGCAGACTAGATTTTGGCCTAAATCTTTGAAAAAAGATTTTTTTCTATAACATAAACTAAGAAAAACATGTTTTTTGGATTTTTTTTTTTTTTTTTAATATTAAGACTTTTTTCATTTATATAGCAAAAAAAAAAAAACTCAAGGTTGATTAACCATGTAGCAACTGCCCGCCCTCAATGTGCTGCAGATGGAAGGCCACTGTAGGCAAAGTGACATACCCGTATGTCGCTGTCTACTTCCAGATTTTGGGCACGTGCATGCTCACGTCCTGGCCTGCACACTCTGTGATTGTGCACACTCTGTGATTGTACACAGTGGGAGCCTGTCAAGTCCCAGCCAAAGATTCAAGACCGGGATCTGCTGATCGGCTGTGTCAGCCTACAGCTCTGTGTTGGCAAAAAGGGAAATGTCTTTGCAGCACACTATACACACATTACACATAGTTAGGCACACATTTATCCTTTGATTGCCCTAGATGTTAACCCCTTCTTAGCCAGTGTTGTTAGTATAGTGAAAGTGTATAATATTATTACTGATCACTGTAGTAAAATGTGCAGAATTTGGGGCCTCATTTGAGACCTGAAGATGCTTAAATTAAGGCTGATCTGAGGTGTGAAGGTACAGAAATTGGGCCTGATCTGAGATCTGGAGGTGCAGACATTGGGCCTGATCTGAGTTTTGAAGGTACAGAATTTGAGCCTGATCTGAGTTTGGAAGGTGCAGAAATTGGGTCTGATCTGAGGTAAGAAGATGCAGAAAATGGACCTGATCTTAAGGGTGAAGATGCAAAAACTGGGGCCTGACTTGCTGTCTAAAGATACAGAA